ACTGCACTCCAGCTCTCAAGGACAGAGCCAGACTCCGCTGTCCTCAAAAATTAAGATGGATGTGATGGCTCATGCCTGTAATCCTGGCACTTTGGAAGACCGAGGCAGGAGGATCCCTTTGAGTCCAGGAGCCGAGACTGTGCCTCGGGCAACATAGGAGACCCGACACCCCTTAAAAAAATTGGCTGGTCGTGGCACATCCCCTATAGTCTTAGCTACTTGGGAGGCTAAGGGGAGAAGATCTCTGAGTACAGAATTAGAGACTGTGGTGAGCTGTGATTGCGGCACCATTGCACCCAGCCTGCGAGGTGAAAGGAGGCCCTGTCTCAAAAAATTTTTTTTTCTTTCTCTCTTTATCTTTGATTTTCAACAATTTGACTCTCTGACTATAATATCTGTGGTTTGTGGTCCACCTTTTTTTAGTTTTTGGGGGAAATTCTTTTTTAGTGATTATTGTTCAAATATTTCTCCTGCCCTGTTCTCTCTCTTCTCCTTCTGAGATTCCAATGACATGGCAAAGAATAGACATTCCATATTGGACTATAGCTCTTGGGTGCTCTTCTGCACAAAATCCCCACCACCCTTTCGGATTGCCAGTTTGAGTAATTTCTTATTGATGTATCTTCAAATAATTTATCGAATATAAAAACTGATTTATCTTCTCAGTTTTTACTGACTTATCTTCACAATTATTTCCTCTACTGTGTGTCTGTATTTACTGCACATCCTGTTGAAAGGTCTTGGGCCAAAGGTGCAGTGGCTTCACCCAAAATCCCAGCACTTTGGGAGATTGAGGTGGGAGGACTTGAGCACAGGAGGTCGAGGCCAGCCTGGGCAACATAGTGAGTCCCATCTCTGGCCAAAATGGGACAACATGAGAAAAAAATTGGCTGGGTGGTGGTGTGCACCTGTAGTCCCAGCTACTCTGCTGTTGAGAGGCTGAGACAGGAGGACGTTGAGCCAGGAGGTCGTGAGGCTGCAGTGAGCGTGTGATTATGCCACTGCATTCCAGCCTGGGCAACAGACCTTGTCTCCAAATAATAATAATAACAATCTTAAAAAAATTAGAAAAGAACTTCCTTTACTTGATATTATGGCTTGTATTTCTACCATCCCCTCTAAAAGAAGCCTTCTTGAGAGGCAAATCGGAGAGCCACCCTGAATAGGAGAGATGGATCCCGGTCCGGGAGGCTGTATTGACGGAGGAAGAGCCTCTCTTTGGTGGAAGACAAGTGGTCTCCAGTTGGGCCTGTTGAGTGTGGGGTGCACGGTGCTTCTGAGGAGCTGTTCTGGGGTAGTCCCACGGCTCCCAGACAAGGGACGCACCTGAACTCTACCTTCTCCAAGTGCTTTGGAAAGGGCACAAGGGGCTAAAATGCCAGGGACCCATGGGGGGACTGAACCAGTATCCTGTTTTGTGACATGAAGCTCCAAAGTACCCTAGTAAGGGTCCAGAAAGGGATGGCAGGAGAGGGACCTCCCGCGCCAAAAGTCCGAGGCAGGGTCTGGGTTCGAAGGGGTCAGCACTTCCTTTAGCCGGAGAAAGGAAGCTGGGGAGCAGAATGGTTAACATCTATAAATTTGGGTGTGTGGAGGGGAGCAGATTTGTTCACAACAGACAAACGGGCAACCTTGAAACCTCGAGTGATGTAAAATCTGAAGGAATTACAAGGAGTACACAGAGATTAATAGACTTTACGCATTCAGCAAACAGCAAAGTGCTGGCTCTGCCTGGGAGGCAGGTGCTCTGCTGGGAGGAGGCCGGGGAATAAACAGCTTTCTATCAGTAGTTAATGAGATGGGATTGGGGCAGAAATGGCCACAGCCCAATCTGCTGCTGGAGCTATGAGGGCCTGGGGCTGGGAGGGCACAGAGGGGGCCCTGACCCCCTTCCATCCGCTGATAGCGAGGTGGGGAGAGGGAGGCAGCGCTTGCAGCCTGGTGGCGGTTGAGAAGTAGTACAGGAAGGAAGTATTATATTAATGATGCTTCAAAAAGGCCTTAGACAAATTCAGAACCGCATTGTCTGAACTTACACGAGCTGGGAGAGAACTGTCCGGGATATTGGTAATCAGATTCCCGGAGAAGATCTAATCTTGAGGAGAATGGGATGCAGAGCTGGGGTCGACAGCTCATTGGGGTGGTAAAGGCCCACAGACCCCACACCCCAAAAAAATACTAAAAATATTTCCAGTCCCCATGTGGGAACCCTGGCATTTTTCGGCCCCTTGTACCTTGTAGCACTTGAAGAAGCGTAGAGCTCTAGACTGCGTCCCCCTTGTCCGAGCCGAGGACTCCAGAACAAGTTCCTCCCAGAAACTCCATGTCAAAATCCCACACTCAATATATTAAAATATTAAAAAATGGGCTAGGCATGGTGGCTCACTCATGCTTATAATCCCAGCGCTTTGGGAGACCAAGGTGGGAGGATTGCTTGAGGGCAGGAGTTTGAGACTAGTGCGTGGCAAAAATATTTTATTTTTAAAATGTTTTAAAGTTAGGCCGGGCACAGTGGCTCACGCCTGTAATCCCAGCACACTGGGAGGCCAAGGTGGGCAGAACACAAGATCAGAGCTCAAGACCAGCCCGGCCTACATGGTGAAACCCCTCTCTACTAAAATTACAAAATTACATGGTGGCAGGCCTGTCATCCCCACTACTTGGGAGGCTGAGGCAGGAGTGGTTGCTTAAGCCCGGAAGGTGGAGTTGCAGTGAGCTTGAGATCCCGACACTGCACTCCAGCCGGCCAGTCTCAAAGAAAAAAAGCTACAGATGCCACTGGTAGCTCCCTGGATCTGACATTCAAACTGCTCCCCAAGGACCCAGAATCCGTTCCTGGAGCAGGAGATGGAAGCCAGAGAACTGGGGGCCTGGGTTACAGGAGGAGAGGCACGGTGCAGAGAACTGGGGTCTGCTAGAGGAGGAGAAGCATGGGTACAGAGAAGTGGAGTCGGAAGCAGGAGGAGAAGTGCAGGTGCAGAACCGGGTCCCTTAGAGGGGGAGGGGAGGCATGGGGTGCAGAGAACTGGGGTCCCATAAGGAGAGGCGTGGGTGCAGAGAACTGTCCGGCTTGTGAGGGGAAGTAGGGCACAGGCGCAAATCACCTGTCAAGTGGATGGCCAAGGCGTTCATTATTTGTCGTATGGCCCCCCAGGCAAATCACTCATCCTCCTGAGCCTCCATATCCTTATCTGCCCTGACTTCCCACACAGTCCTCCCAGACAATCATATGAGCTACATGCTGGTGGCCTCTTGTGAAGGCAGAGCTCTTTTACAAGAGGAGGCAGTAGGGGTCTCTGGATCTAATCAGACCTTCCAAAGCCTCCGAGTGGCCCCACATGCCTGGGCCTCACCTCCCGCGCTTGCACTGGCCATAGAGCAGATGGTTTTCTGACCGTTTTACCACGAAGGGATTCACCTGTGTTAGTCTTTTGCTACACAAATTATAAGCACCTCAGGACGGGGCTTTGCTGCTTAGGGCCGTCTCTACCCCACATGGTTAAAGACACAGAGGCAATGCCACCTGCTGACTCCCGGGGCCTTCATCATCGCTGTCATCACCTCCATCACCCTCCTCCCCCTTGAATAATCTGACTAGAGATCTACTAGGCTACCAGGCCTTGGGAGCAGATTGATGCGGTGGAGGCAGATCCTCCCAAGACCCATCCAGGCCCACAGCTTCCCACCCTGTATATGAACTTAAAGGGAATCTATAATGCGTTATTAATAAACCTCATAATGTTCCCAAATCCAGCCTCCATCACTCCAGCCCTTGAAACTCTCCCATTCTCCCCACCTGTACCTCTCTCTCCGAACATGTCCGGGTGGGGTGCAGGTGTTTCATCTGTCAAGGCTTCTGCGCACAGCCGCCCGGGAGGGCCTTCCGAGTCCCTGGCTAGGAGGATGGTGGGACTCTGGTGGGTTACCCTCTGAAGGTGTCCTTGTAGGCCCAGAGACTCCCACATCAGCTCCCTGCTCCTCACGATTCTTCTTGCCCACCCCACAGCCTTCAACCCGCTCCCCTCCCACCTCTCATCCCCTGCCCACCCTGCCAGAAGGAATCAGAAAGTCTGTTCTATATGAGGGAAATCAGCAGGTCAGAGCCAACTCTCAGACACAGCCACCACCAGGCTGAGCAAGGACCCCCAAATTCTGTCTTTCCCGCAGCCCCTCAGCCATTTTTTTTTAGACGGTTTTACTCATGCTGTGAGGACTGGAGGGCGGTGCCATCTCACCTCACTGCAACCTCCACCTCCGCCTCCCATGGCTATGCCTCAGTGATTCTCCCTGCCCCTCAGCCTCCCAAGTAGCTGGGGATTTGCAGGGTGCCGCCACCATGACCAGCTAATTTTCTTTTTTGTATTTTTATTAGGGAGACGGTTTCACCATATTTGGCCAGCTGGTCCCAAACTCCCGACCTCAGGTGATCCACCCACCTCGGCCTCCTAAAGTGCTGGGATTACAGGCATGAGCCACCACAACCGCCCGCTGGGGTCATTTCTTAAATGGAGGGATTCCCCAGGTGCACCTGAGGCTCCCCCAGGCTTCAAGAGAGGACACACACTGTCAGACACCCCTCCTGGATTCCCTCTCCGACTCCGTAAGGCTGGGCAGCATGTGCAGTGCCCCTGTGAGGCTTGAAAGACCCACCCTCCAACAGATAAAGCCCCCCCAGAGGAGGGCAGCACCACTGTCTGTGACAAACCCCCCACCCTCCCGGGGAGCCTGGAGGGCAGAGGCTGTGATTTCCCCAGCCACCCATGCCAGGGGCTGTGTGCGCACACCATCTCCTGCACACACCACAGGCACCCACACGTCTCCACAGTGACCCCCTTCAGCAGCCCCAAGGCAAGATGAGAGGGCCGCCAGCAGGGGTCTCCAGCCTCTGTGGCAGCCTGCCATGCAAAGGGGAGAGTCATCCCCTGCTGCCTGAGGCAGGGGGCGTGTACTATGACCACCCAGGAGCACTGGACCCGGAGCATCAGCCCAGGGGCACTCACCCTGTGTCAATGTAGCAGGAAAGGACGCGGAGAGCCAGTAGGTGAGCCAGCGTCGGGTCCAGATCACCAGCATTTCCCCGGGAACGGGCCTCTGGCTGTGCCCGCCTTCCCGCCAAGAGGGACTGGGCAAATGGAAAGCCTCCCAGGGTGATCAGCTATAAAAAGGACCCGTGAGACCTCTTTGCCTTGAAGAAGAGCAGTGCCTGTCCCAGGGTAGAGGTGAGGTGATGGCGTTGAAAGCAGGCAACACGTGGTACAATCGGGAGTTAAACGAAAGGGCAGCCTGTCCAACCCTCCCTCATAAGTCCTGGAGAAGCTCACTGTGCTGAGCCAGGGTCCCTCTCCTCAGCGAAAGTCAGAGCCACTGGGTGGGGCAGTGCAGGAGGGGAGGGCTAGAGGTGAGCACACCAGTGGTGACAAGAGGGGCCAAGAAGCACCAGGGAGGGTGACCATGGAGGGGAGGTAGTTCAGAACCATGGAAGGGGCAAGGCTCAGGCCAGCGCGCCGAAGGACCCTCCACTCCCACCCCCGAGAAGCCCCCTCTCTCTTCCAGCCATCCCTCCCCTACTCCCCCTGCCTTCGACATGGTCCCTCCAACCAGGGCTTCTCCTGGGGTCCCCGCTTCCAGCCACCTCCTGGGCGGTGCCCACTCACACCTGAGACTTTATGGTCCTGGTCTCCACCCCTGGCCAGACACAGAGGTGACGAAAGGCCATGGCCCTCGCCCCCGCCCAGTGTATTAGTGGCTGTGGGCAGAGGGTTGGTAGTTGTCATAGATGTCACTGTATATGTGGAGGTGATTGAAGAAGTGATGGGGGGAGTAGAACTCACTGCTGTTTTGAAAGATCCTGTGGAAATGTCAAGGGTAGGAGTCAGTGTGGTGGTCTCAGGGGATGTGGCTGTTGAACTGGTGAATGTAGTCTGACCTGTGCGTGTAGTTGCTACAGTGGATGAAGGTGTTTCCATCGTTGTAAATGTTGTGAATGACGTGGTGGTTGTGGCTGATGGGGTGGATCCAGCTGTTGTGTGGTGTGTACTGGTGATGGATGGAGGTGAGGAGATACTCTCGGTGTGAGTGGTCCCTGCACTGCTGGCAGACATGGAAGAGGAAAATGAATATGTTGCTGGGAAGCTCGTCAGGAGGGAAGTTGTCTGAGTGCCCTCAGTACTTGTGAGAGTTGGTCTCTCGCTGGGAGTGGTGGCAGAGGTCATGCTGACAAGGGATGAGGTTTCTGTATTCTGGATGTTGGGGGAAGATGGGATGTCACTTGTGGACACTGCTGAGGTAGTGGAAACAGCAAATGTTGAGGAGAGGACTGTTGTTGTAGTCAAGGATTCAGTAGAGCTCACAGAAGAGTGGGTAATAGTTGTGGGTGTTGTCGAAGGGATGTCTGTACTCAGAGAAGATGGGGTCATGGTTGTGGAAGTCACCATGGTACCTGAGGTAGGCGAAGCTGAGGAGATGGCAGTTGTGGTTGTACTCCTTGTGGAATAGATGGTTGAAGAAGTGAAGCTGGGAACACTGTGGGAGGTGGTCTCAGGGGTGGTGGTTACCAAGGTTGTGGTAGGAGTTGTGGCAGTTTCTACGGTTAGGAGAGAGGAAGAGGTGGGTGAGAGAGAAATCTCGGGGAACAATGTACCTGTCATACTTGTGGGGTAGCTGATGTCGGTCATGGAGTCTGTGGCTGTGCTAGTGGGAGAAGTAGTGTAGGTGGTCTCAGATATAGCTCTAGACCTGGTGATGGTCGTGGGGAGTGTGGTCACCAAGGTGGAGAGAGGGGTGGTGTTGGTGTTATGACTGGTGATTGTTTCTGTGCTCAG